TCTGGACCTGCTCCAAGAGGTCCACGTCTTTATTGTGCTGAGGGCTCCAGATCTATGGTTCCATGAAGGGGATTAAAAAGAGCAGGACCCAGCGAAAGGCTCACTTGGTGCAGCATCCTTCCAAAATGAGGGATGATACTCAACCCTCACGTAGGCTTTGCTGCTGGCTGGGACCTACTGCATGATGGAAATCTAACTCCAGCGAGCAAAAGCCAAAAGGAACCGCAGCAGCTCACTTACATCTGTCTGTACCATCTGGCAGCGCTGAGCCCGGATCCGGCTCACGAAGCCGTAAACGTCCACCTTCCTCTCCGCGTGCATCATGTCCAGCATGGCATCGATGACGATAAAAGTGCCCGTGCGTCCTACCCCGGCGCTGAAAGAGCAGAGGGGACAAGTGGTCAGTACAGCAGTGTTGGCGTTGGGGTCCCTGGCAGAGCAGTCGGGAGCGAGCCACACGCTTTTCAGCAGCGAGCAAATAGCAACATCTGTTTTGGAGCTGAGAGAGGTCCTCAGCCTGGTGTTCAGTGTCGCCTGGGTTTTGCAGAGAGATGCACACAGCATCTCCAGCAACTGCCATGACTGGAGTGCATGAAGGCACAGAGCAGGGTGAGCCAAAGCAAAGCCTAAGCCAGCTACGGCTTCCAGAGTCCTTACGGGCTGCCTGTTCCTACCAGCTGCCTGCTGCTCCTTCCAGCCAACCTCCATCACATGAAGGTGAGCCCAGGGGAAGCCTTGTTTCTGTGCTGGTAACTCAACAATTATGGAGAAGAAGAAAGAGAAGGCCAGCAGATGCTATGGAAAGCTCTTTTGTCAGCTGCCTTCCCTTACTGAAACGTGGACAGCCTCCCGTGGCTCCCCCAGGCTTGCTGCTGTGCCTGAAACCACTCCACGTGAGGTCAAACACCATGGTGCCCGCTCCCAGGCACGCCGTCAGCTGAGTACTGCCTTCCCGCAACAAGGGATCTTGCCCTCTCACGTCCAGGGCAGTGGAGAGCCAAGGGGGATGCCACTGATGCCCAGTGTTAAGCTTGGCTCACCCGGCATCCAGCTAACCCAAACGAAGACCACTCAACATGAGTTGTAACACCATCACATCGCTGATTCCAAGAAGTTCCTTCAATTCAGATGCATTTTTTTGAATGTCCCCACATGGAACATTCCCATTTAACATGGGAAACTTAAATAAAAGTAATAAAAAAAGCCTGACTGAAAAAAAAAATCCTTTTAGTATTAAATAGGAGACACTTTCCAAGTGATCCAGGAGAGGCAGAGGTCAGCCATGACCAGGACGTACCTGCAGTGCACAACTATTGCTCCTGCGTATTGGGGATTACACGTCTTCACCTTCTTCAGAAACTTCAGCATCCCGATGGGGGTGAAGGGGACCCCGAAGTCGGGCCAGCTGGTGAAGTGGAACTGAGTCACCAGGCGCTGAGGCTTCTTGTTTGTGACGTCGCCGACCTGAAGGGGAAAAGCGTATGCAGGTTAATGATAAATACTCAGATTTCCCTTCTTTCCCCAAAAGCAAGGGCAGAAAGGGAGCTACAGCCCCAAGATTGAGCTGAGGGGCTTAAGAAGCAGTAGCATCCATAAGCTGAAAGGGCACAGACTCAGGCTTCGGGGACAAATTAGTCTCTAAAAGCATGACAATTTCATCGCCCAGCATCACATCCCGCATCCTAGGGGTGAGAGATGCCAGCCTGGCCTCGGCTGTGGCTCCAACCTCGTCTGCCCCCAACCTGGCAGAAGCTGCCGTATTTCATTCCCAGTGGGCTCAAACAGAAGCTGCTGCTCCATCCTTTCCCACACCTCTGCCCACAGCATCCTCAGTTGAAGGCAGGGGAGGAAATCACCTACGTCCAGGCCACTGGAGTGAAGGGTGAGGCTCAGGAGAACCCTGCTCAGGGTCCAGACAGCTTTTCAACTGCCAGCTCTTCCTTGCCTGCCTCTGAGAGCAGCAGGAAAACAAGCAGAGTGACTAAAGCATCCAGAGCCTCCTTGGAGGATGAGAAAACGTAGCTACAGATGGGAAAGCTATCAAAACCAATGCATACGGCGCTGGATTTTGTCTCGGCTCATGGGATAAATGTGATTATATGCAGGCATTAAGTATCTGTGGGTGACAGCAGGAACCGATACCGGTAACAGCAAGTACTGGAGTATTACAGGACTGAATTTCAGCCTTGGCATCCATCAGCTTCCCTGCTCCCAGTACAGCCGTGCTGGTTACCTGCTGGGAACAGGCTCCCAGGTGTTTAATTGAAAATGGATGCCAGGGTCATTTCATCCCAACTCTGCTCTCACAGCGCCTCGGAGGACTCAAGGAGCATGCCAGTGCCTGTTGGATGCCCAGCATGGAGAGGGGAGGGATGGGATGGGAGATGCGAGCCCCAGCACCTGCTGGATGCAGAACTTCCGCACGGTGTAATCCACCAGGACAGTCACGTCCTCCACGGACACTCGGATGTTCCCGTACGTCCAGCAGCCCTGATCCGGCCAGTACTGAGCACACTTACACTGTGGGGAGACAAAACGGGCACAGGTGAGCTCTGGTCCCTCGCAAGCCTGGGACTGGCTGCAAGACGTGCCCGTGGGCATGAGATGTGCCAGATTCAGATGAAGTTGGGTTAGATAGCAGCCCATCAAGCCTTCTGGCACCCACCTCCTTCCTCTCTTTCAGGTTGGTCACCATGACAATTGTTGCGGTGTTTTGCTCCCAAATCATCCTCCAAAAATCATTCACGGTTTCTTCCTTTGGTCCTATGGGGAAGGTAAAAAGAAATGTTGCTTTGGGATCAACCCCTCAAGTGCTGGGACCGAAACCCATCGTGTGAAGTCACACATCGTGGATGATGCAACACATGTTTTGCCAACAGATGTCAGCACAGGAGGTGCTTTGGTGTCTGGGCACGTTGTCTAACCCAAGGAACAATCCTGTTACAAACTAGCTGGGCTTTTTGGATATGTTTTATGATCAGGAATTCCATTTTTAGCCCAAGAAGGGGAAATCAGACAAACGGAGCACGGAAACGACTTGCCCAAAGTCACCCAAGGGAAATTGTGGCCACTTCAAACAGTCCACAGAAGTCCTACCCTGGAGCCTTGGGCTTTAACCAAAGGATCCCATTTCAATGTGGCACAAGAATAGTTACCTGCTGCCTGCCAGACAAGGAGCTAACTCAACCTAGACCTCCCTTGCCAAGCCTGAGGCTAAAGGCGAGCCAAGAGAATATCAGAGCCAAAGCTCTACCCCAGCCTGGTAGCACTGACGGACCCGATCTAGCCTTCTTTCTCTGGCAAGAGCCAGGCAAACTGACAGGAGATGCCCTAAACCACTTGCAAGCCAAGAGTGGAAATGCGAAACACCTCCCATGGCAGGTAATCCCCTTTTGCTGACAGCAACCCCTCTGTGAGTGAGCATCTTGGTTTTAGGGACGTGTTTGGACCAGTCCAAGGAAAGCAAGCGAGCCAGAGGGCTATGGACAGTGACACACTCGCGTGGGCAATTGAGCTTGGGAAGATTCGTGATGCTTGTAGTTCTCGGTAGCTAAATAGTCCTGTCTACCTTCTGAAGACCACAGTGAAATTTCTCTCCAAGGGCGCAAGCCTATGTTGTTGTCTGCTGAGGTTTAAAAAGGAGCAGAAATCAAACCAGGTCAACATGGTGCTCCCCGTAACTACAGATTTGGGGAATTTAATTAAGCAGCTCACTGGCAATATTTCCAGATATCATGACCACCTGCAGCTGTGGGCCAGGGTGGAAGGACAAGGCTCAGGGCAGAAACACTTTGACATCCTCCAGCAATCAGTATTGCACAGGTAAAGCTTCTCTTCCTCCCCCAACACATCCAGCACTGATCTTTGATCAGGAAAACCATTTTGGGAACAAACTGTGGAGCAGCCAAGCTTCCTTTTGACCAGGGGAGCTCTGCAAGGCACCGTGCTGTGGTTAGACTGGCACAGCTCTGCAGAGCAGAAGGACCCCAGCCCGACTGCCACCAGACAGAGCTAGAGGAATAACAGAGCATTTACCTTGTGCAGCAATGAACTTGTTTTTCTCTTGGTACCCCTACAGAGAAAAGGAGAAAAAGAAGACAAATGAAAGACCTGTAGCTTTCTAACACAAGAGTCATGAAGTGCAGCTACATCGTTAATAAACAGAGACATACCCCTCTCCGAGGGGAGAAACAGCTCCAACAGCAGGGCAGAAATGATGGAAAATGCCTGTGCAAAAGGCCCTTGCCCCACAGCAACACACCCCACACTCACATAATGCAGGAACGACCCCACTTGTTGGCACAAAGCACTAACAAAGTGGTATCCAACAGCCCTTCTGCTGGGATCAGACCCTGCATCCAGAGCGTTACGTGAAAATCAGCATTAATTTTTGGGAGATGGGGCTGTTGAACTCATGGGGATTGATTCTGTGTATTTCCTAATAGATATTTATTTATGGGTGAAGAAAGGAGAAAGCTCTTTTAGGTCTTGTTTTTCTTCATGAGCCTCCATCTCTCTCAAAGTCTACTTCCTCACATTACCCTTTCAACTTATTTGAGCTATATGGTGATAACCATATAGGACCCATCTCCTCCTAGGAGCAGAGGAGGGCAATGCTGCTTCTATTTTAGCTAGGTTCCTCAATTTCTTTTTCATCCCCTTCCCACATCCAGCCTTGCAAGCTGGGAAGTACCAATGATTAACCAGCCACACCATTCATCAGCCATTAATCAGCAATTCCCAATTCCTGCAGGTAATGGTTCCCAAACCCCTTCCAAACCAGCTGGCTCGCCCTTGCAGCACCCTGAGGAGTACAAGTGGTTCTCATTATTTCAGAAGTGGGGAAAGAGAGGTGGGAAGAGATGGGACTATGGCAATGCAGCTGAGCAAGGGCAGAGCTACCGCTAGAATTTGAGTTCCAGCTCTCAGCCTCTTACTCCAGCCATGCTCGTCTGGGCTCAAGGTGCGGAGCGAAGCATGGTGAGCTCTACCACGGCCACACAAAGGTTATGAGATCAAAACCCAGTGTAATTTATTGCTTCAGAGGAGCTGGGGAGATGTTAACGCAGAAGATAGATAGTCTCTTAACCACCCTCTCCCAGGCACAAGTCACACCCCATAAAGGCCCCACGCTCCTGGTAGGACCAGGCACCGCCGGCTGGGGTGTCGCTGGTGGGGATCTGCCCTTCAAATCACAAAACTCACATTAATGAAGGAGGCATTGATGTAGTCGGAGTCAGGAACTCCCTCGACAGGAGTCAGGTGAACCCTGGAATGATCATCTGGAGGAAAATTAAAACTCTGCATTAAAAACAAACCCCTCCACATAGCTGAAATCTGGCAGAGGGAGAAAGCCGGGCGCTGGAGCGGAGCCTGGGCTTGCTGGCTCCCCTGCACACACAAACACCTTTATGCCCCCTAATTCTTCTTGCTTAAGCCTGGAGAGGTGCTAGACCTCGCCCAAGGAAGCTTTTCTTCTGAAGAGCGTGCACATTTGAGGAAGCCCCCGAGCTAGCCCACCACCCCACGCCACTCGGCAAGAGCTGGCCATTTCGGCATTTCCCAGCCGTTTCACTTTCCATGGTCCTCCTGGCCACTGACGGATGCTCCTCATAGGTATCTAAAGCTAAAGCAGATGCAGCCACGCTCCTGGGAGGTGAAATGACCTCGACCATGTCCTTGCCCATCCCAAAAACAGGAACAGGGAGCCCCGACAGCAGTGCTGGCCGTGCCCCACCCAAGCAGCTCTGATACCTACAGGGCAAAATGTTCACGTATCTGTTCTTCTCCTTATTCTCCTCCTTGGAAGCAGCTTCGCACGTGGCCTGTATGGGACACGCTGGGAGAGCCTGCGATGGCAAAAAAGGGTGTTTTCCATGATGTTCTTATTTATCAGCAGTAACCACAACACAACTGGTGTGTCGGCGCACGCCACATCCGAGCATCCTGTCCCTTCGGACATGTTCCCACCACCCACACCCCTCACCTCCACCCCAGCACCAGCTCCTCCTCCACACAGAACTCAGGGTGACCATTTAAACAGCCTGGGCCGGACCAGAGAGTGCAAATCCCTTCTGAAAAGTGGTATCTGGAATCTCAGGACACATGAACACGAGGTGGCAGCAAAGGCTCCGACACCAAATCCACCAGCCCAGCGATCAAGGAGCTCATTTCTGCTCACGGAGGCTCCTGCTGAGATTTCCTCCGTTAATAGTGATGCTAATGGTGACCTGATTAAAGCCCCCATCGCCCGAGCACACCCAGTGATGGGAAGGAGCACCCATATAGGGACTATTCTTCATCCAGCAGTGCTGGGGACCTTTGGGTTGGGGGGTGCTGGGGTCACAGGTGATCCCGTTGTGGTCACAGCAGCCAGGTTTCATGCTTGAGCAGAGGAGGTGCTTCCCCAGCACTGCTATTCCACATCCTCTTTGAACAGCGAAGAGGATGAGAACATACCGGAGGTATTCACCATCCCTTCCTCCAGACGTGTTTCGGCAACGGAAGTCTCCAGGGCAATCGAGTATTTATAACCCGAAAGATCTCCCTCCCTGGGTATTCATTGCGCTTACTTAGTTTCATCGCAGCACGGCCAGGAAGGGTATCAAGTTGTGCAACAGCTGGAGAAAGTCGAGTGGCTTTTTATTTATCTTCTCATCATCCTCATATTGCCATATTGCGCCTGGGACCCAAGGCTTAATGTATTTGCAATGCGGACAACCAGATCAATAGTGGGTTTTCTTTCGTTAATTAGGCTGACAGAGAGTCCGGGTAGTCCAGCAGCTCCTACGTTACATGCTGGGATACTCCAGCCAGTTATTTAATGTCGTCCCCTACCTCATCACTGCAATGCCTATTTTTGTATTGCCAAGGTGAAACAGGTTTATCATCACCAGAAGATGCAGAGCTCAGCAACATCAGGAAGAGGTTGTAGTCATCTCAGAAGAGATGCTCTGGCATCATGGGATAAGCATAATACCAGAATTATTACTCACTGCTGAAGGTCAACTGCTATCCTATAAACTGCCATCATTCTGTTTCAGGGTTAACAGCTGATTAGGGTATTTTCTATTTCTCTGTCAGAGCTCTTGTTTTGGCTGTTTGTGGGTTTAAGACAATCACACGCACACCATCATTCCCTCCGTGAAGCTCCCAGATAAGCTCTTCTGAAGCACGGCATCCAGTACCGGCCCCTTTATTATAAACTCAGCTGCCCCTGGGTTGACGTGCTGTCCCCAGGCTGGGTACCATGGCACACTACGGCTCCTCTCTGATCCCCCAGCCATTTTGTCGCCGCTCTACGAAGTGCGACCAGATTTTTTCCTGCTGTGCGTCGTTAGCCTAACTCCGAAAGCAGCCTGCAGGATTTAAGGGCAAGAAGCAAAGGCACTCACGTTGAACTCCTCCCGAAAGAGCTTGTTGTCATCTGCCATCCGGCGGTTGATCTCCTCTTCCAGCTTATCGACGGGCAGAGGCGGGTATTTACGGTTGGTGCTGGGGGAGCGGGCGAGCAGCGGCATGCTCTGAGGCTCTGCAACGACACCCATGCATCAGAGGTGCCCACCCAGCCGCTCCCCATGCCCATCACTTGTCCATGCCTGCGTGGCCACAGGGACCTCACATGCCCTGGGCTGTCCACTTTTAGGGCCACCTCGTATCCTCACTGTCCCGTATTTTCACAGAATCATAGAATGGTTTAGGTTGGAAGAGAGCTTAAAGATCATCTAGTTCCAACCTCCCTTCCCTGGGCAGGGACCTCTTCCACTAGATCTGGTTCCTCAAAGCCCTGTCCAACCTGGCCTTGAGCACTTCCTGGCCTTTTGTTCTTCCTACGGACAGTGCACAAGATTTTGGCGTTGCTACAGTAACACAAAACTCTTCCAGCACCCTGTGGTTGAGCACTACGCTGTCGTAGAGGCAGGATAGGGCAATGAGAACCATGTCTAACAGCCCCACACAACGCTCCAGGCTTGGGGAGGAGTGGCTGGAGAGCAGCCCGGCGGAAAAGGACCTGGGGGTGCTGGTTGACAGCCGGCTGAACATGAGCCAGCAGTGTGCCCAGGTGGCCAAGAAGGCCAACAGCGTCCTGGCCTGTATCAGCACTAGTGTGGCCAGCAGGAGCAGGGCAGGGATCGTGCCCCTGGACTGGGCACTGGTGAGGCCGCACCTCGAATCCTGTGTGCAGTGTTGGGCCCCTCACGCCAAGAAGGACGTTGAGGTGCTGGAGCGTGTCCAGAGAAGGGCAACGGAGCTGGGGAGGGGTCTGGAGCACAAGTCTGATGGGGAGCGGCTGAGGGAGCTGGGGGTGTTCAGTCTGGAGAAGAGGAGGCTGAGGGGAGCCCTCATCGCTCTCTACAGCTACCTGAAAGGGGGTTGTGGTGAGGTGGGTGTTAGTCTCTTCTCCCAAGTAACCAGCGATAGGACGAGAGGAAATGGCCTCAAGTTGCACCAGGGGAGGTTTACATTGGATATTAGGAAAAATTTCTTCACTAGAAGGATTGTCAAGCCTTGGAACAGGCTGCCCAGGGCAGCAGTGGAGTCACCATCCCTGGAGGTAGTTAAAAGATACGTAGATGTGGCACTTAGGGACATGGTGTAGTGGTGAACTTGGCAGTGCTGGGTTAACAGTTGGACTCGATCATCTTAAAGGTCTAAGGGTCTTTTCCAACCTGAATGATTCTGTGATTCTGTGTCATCAATATTGGGGGATGAAGACCCCCTCGCTTTGAATTCAGGCTTTACTCTCACTCACATGGAATTTTTGTCACCATCACTGTGACATAACTCCCAGGTGGACACAACAAAGGTAGCTGTTACTTGTGGTTCCTCAGCGAAGCCACGAAGGCCACGCAAGGGTTATACCAACACAACCAACAGTTTATGAAGTTCACAGCTTCGCTTACAGCAATGTAAAACTTGGGTAGGGAAGGTCTTAGCTGCCAACGTAAAAAAAAAGGTGCTGATTTTAAGTTAGCGCTCGCTCCGAAGGTGTTTGGTTTATGTGGAGAGAGCTCAGAAAAAGGATCTGAACCGAGTCTAAGAGGTGCTGGCGCCTCTTCAGCTGTTACTTCAGTGCCTACATACGGACAGAGATGTCCAACTTCAGATCCTCAATGGGCAGCCCTGGCTCAAAGCCAGAAAATGAGGCAAGCTCATGGACAGAAGAGTTTACACGTTACAGCAGGCTTGCACAAGACTTTAAAATTGTACCTATGCATCTTTTAGACATCTAAAAAGGTTTTTATGGAGAAAAAACAATGTATTCCCTCTTTCTCTCAGAAATGTTAGTTCAGTGCCTACAGTTGCATGAAGATTTGCACAAGAGTTTTAATCAGCCATCATTCTAACTTGAAAGGGTAGAAGGATATTTAATTATTCCCCAAAGATGTGTATTTTCAAAAAAGGTGCTTATTTCAGTCAAAGACTTATTGTGAAAATTGAAGAGGAACGTGAGTAGTTCAGTGTTGGAAGTGATTGCACATTCTAATATTAACCACTTGAGGGCAAACATTTTGTCGCTGGAATGAAAGTTGGGAAATAAATTTTCATTCTGTAAGAGCTTGCCAAAATCATGAAAAACAGAGAACGTTCAGAACAAGAAACAAATAAAAACATTGATGAAAAAATACTTTTCCACAAAAATATGAGGTGGGAGAACAAAGCTGTGGCATCCAGCCCACCAAGCCCTCAGGCACCGTCATTGCACTGCGCTCAGACTTCTACAGTACCGCATCCACAGGCTTTCCTGGACTTTTACAGAGGTTTATGTTCTGACATATCATATTTATATTATTCTGGCGCATTTATATTTATTCTGGTGTATAAAAGAGGCCACTGGGTATGACGTTGACCACAGGCCCAACAAGTTGCATGTGTCTTACTGCTGTAGTGGAAGGGGAAAGGCACTGCCTGGCCAGCAGACCAACCCAGGCAGTTCTGTGCTGCCCAGAGAGCTGCCCTGGAGGGCACAAACTAAACCTGCTTTTGCCACTTCAAGGGTGTTATGACATTTTTGGAATTTTTATGATTTTTAGAAGAATTGATAGTTATTTCACTAGCTAACTTTGGCTAGTTCCAAGCGGTGGAAAAAACCAACCCTGAAATATTCCATTGTTACTCCGAAGAACGTTTGCATTGATCCGTTTTGATCTGAACAGAGCTTACTGCTTCTGTGAGATGCATTTTTGGTCCCCGTGTCGCACCGATGTGGGCCTCACCTGCATCATCCGTCCGGCCATTGGACAAGCGAAAGGAGTTGGAGTGACTCCCTGCTTGCTTGTATTTCTTGAACCTACCAAAGACAAAGGAATGGAGAACATCAGTAGATACCCACCAAAAAGCCCAGGTTAACTTCTGGATGAGAGGTGCAGCCACGAAGGGCTTTCCTCACTTTCTTATGGCTTGATGAACTAGCTGGTGGGTCCAAGAGGTTATAGGACCTCTAAAATCCTGCCTACGGGCATAACTTCTAACTGACCACATCTGGAAAGGCTGCAGGAGACCAGAGCCAGGTGAAAGCCAGAAGGAGAACCTTTAAGGCTGCTTTTTATGGAGGACACACCAAGGAGTTCCTGCTCCACCAGCTGATTCACCAAAGCGCATAAACCCCAGGGTGATCCATCCTGCAGCAAAGCCCTTCTCCATGTGCTTTTAACTTGAAGCAGATGCTTACGCTCCGTTTGCCTGAAGTTAAGGGTTTTGCTGAATCACTGGGCAGGCGGCAGCAGACAGAAACCCTTTTTTTAAGGGCTGCAAGCCAGGTGAGGAGGACTCAAACTGCTGCTGCTGAACTCCCGAGGCAAAACTCTCATCAGGTTCACTGCTGCGTGGACAGGCCCGGAGCCAAGGGACCAAGGGAATTTTTCCACCACTAAGGAAACAGCTTTTTCTTTTTTCTTTTTTTCTTATTTATTTAATTACCAAAATATTGAGTAAATAAAAATGCAGGTGATTAAACACCCTCTTCTAATGGAGCAGATATGCACTGAGGAGCTGGGAATGCTACATTTTGAGCAGCTCAGATGCTTGGATTTTTAAAAAATGGATCTAAGAAGGCTTTGCTATGCCATAGTTCCAGCTACAGCATCACCCAACGCTCCTAACAAGCTCCAGTCGTATGCCACCTTGCAGCGGAAGATGCACAGGCACGACGTACGGCTTTGGTACCCAAGGCAGAGCTTGGCTCTGGTTGTTGGATCATGTTTGGTATCAATGTGGGAATCAAGGAATAACACACCCTGTTAGACACACAAAGGACTTCTGGCTCAGGGTTCGGCTTCCCTGGATTACTCAATCCGAGACCCTTAGCCTTGCAAGGAAACCTCACCCACAGTGACAGGGCTTTTTAACTGCACTGATAGGACTTCAGTTTAATCTATCCTACTAAATGTCCTATAGGACATTTTCAGTAGCAGAACAGGCATTACCCACAGGAGGATCAGCTTTATAGAGACAGGAATAAGCATCACTTACTAGATAACCCAAATCATCATTTTCATTCTCCTTACATGTTTCTTTTTAAACCACTGGCTGTGTCAGCCTTTAGCTTAGGAAACAGCACAAAAGGCTTATTCCTGTTCATTCAGTAATGAATTTCTGTCAAATAAGGGAAGTCACCATTAAAGTACTTCTTACCTTAACATGTACAGCACAATAATAATAAATACTATGACTAGAAGGGAAGACAGGGCCACCATCACAGCTATAATTGGAGTCTCATCTGCAATAGAAAAAGAAAGATGCGGTTATCAACAGCTGTCAAAAAACATCCAGCGCCACCATTTAACGGGGCAGAGCTCTGCAATTCTCCTTGCAAAATAATAATAATAATAATAATAATAATAATGATGATGATGATAATCATCATCATCATCATCATCATGTATTGAGTAAGGTTACATTTGTCCAGTCTGACGGTGAAGACAGACACACAAGCTGAGCGAGCACCAGGTATCTCAGATAGATTAAAACCTGTAACCACTATTCAAAGCACCTCAGTCTTCTCTAAGAGTTGTGAAATTGTGACCTTGGAGATGAAAATAACGATTGAGAAACCTGTGAGTGGGCTATTTTAGGGGTTTCTTCTGAACAACGTGCCCATGGTGGCCCACCAGTAGAAGTTTGCTCTATCACCTGGGGACCTGCAAAGTCTTCTGCCTGAAGAAGTTTCTGAACAGGTCGATGAGTTTGGTACAGTATGATAAGGAACCTTATATTAAAACAGGTGAAAACTGTGGCCTTTGTAAGATCCCACAGATAACTCCCATTTGTAGGATTGTCACGATTTTGCTTCTGGTTCCTTGTCAAATAGGACAAGAGGGCAATGCTTCATGCTTCACCTGAACACTTTTAGGCTGAGGTTTGCTGGAGAGGCTCAGGGCTACTGGGCTACTTATCATCTGCCTGGCTCATCACAAAGAGGTGGCTCCTGCTGGGATTTCTTTCCTCCCTGGAAATACTGAGTTTAGAGAGGAGGGTTAGACAACCCATCGTGCATGCTCTGCACCGCAAAGCCACCAAGTATGAACTAATTTGGCTTGCTTCGTTGTTTGCTCCCTCACAGACACTTCTCAAGGGCAGGCACCGCACAATTCCCTTGCAAACACACTTAGATTAGGCACATCTGAAACGTTCCCATCCTCTGGGACCCACAACAGATTTTTTTAAAAAATAAGCTATTTGTAACTTGGCCTAGAGGTCAGTGAAACAGTGGTCGGCGCAAGCAAATTACCCAGATGGGGTTGGAAGCCAAGCGGTGCTAACCAGATAGGAAAGTGGCCCTGAAGGGCATTTTTTCAGATAAATGTGGATGCCAGCGACGCCGGCTGGGGCCATTTTCATTTTCCATCAGCTTGCTCAATCTGTATGGGCCACCGCACTGTGTCTACATGCCTTGGCCCCGCGAGACTGCAGGGCATGACCCCCCTTTCCACCTTCTGTGCATCCATTTCCCTGCTCGGGCAGATTCCTGCTCCATGTCTCAGCAAGCTGAGCCAGCAGATTTTCTTAGGTGGGATTTATTTTGTCCATCTTTGACTACTGAGCTACCAAGGTGTTATATTTCTGCATTTGTTCCTCTGTGGTTGTGAGGTCTAGAAATGTTATTCCAACCAGCGGATAGGAGTTTTGTGTAATGATTTGAAGGCAATGACCTGGTATGGCAAATAAAAACACGAAATCCTCCCAGCCTTGCACGTCTCTCTTCTTTCCATCTACCGTCCTCGTGTGTCAGCGTCTCCCCCAGCCCAGCAGCAAGAAGCCAAGGAATTTATTGGGAGGCATTTCTACCCCTGCACGCTTGGTAGCTGCTTGAGCCTTAGCATTACCCACCACGAGGCTTTCCAAATGCAAGCCCAGGAAGGCAAAGCAACCACGGAGCCTCTTAGCCCGACCACAGCCAGCCCCTGCCTCTCCTCTAACGTGCTTCTCGTTGAGACCTCCAGCTGTAACCACCGCCGCCCTCCCGGCTGCAGGAGAGGAAGGTGAGCTGCTTCGCCAAAGCCCGCGGCGCTATGCCCCCACTACGCGTCGTTGGGCCGTTTCTCCGGCGTTGGACGGAGCTAAGCCCAGCCTAACCGGTGCTGAGCCAGGCAGGGGCCGCTGCGGCGGCGCCGGTTGGCAGGAGACGTGATTTACGGGCAGGGATTTCGGCGGGCGTGCCTCTGGCAGCAGGATGCAGGGAGCCCAGGGGGTTGTTTGGGGTTTTTTTTTTTGCAGCCGTTCTTTTGACACATCTGGCTGGATGAGTTAGAGCTTTTCCCCGGCGGGGGGCGAGGCACCCAGCACGGCGCAGC